ACTGCAGCTGAGATTTTCTTCCTCGCTTCTTGATCTGTACTCCCCTGCACTTGCTCTACTCTGAAAAGGGCCTTGAAGAAAGAGTCTACCTCACTCTGCTCCTAAGGCCTCCAAATAGGGCTAAAACAGAATAAGAGACCCACATAAAGGAGAGAAATAGCTGTAGTAATCTGTCTCCAGCATGAGCACTGACACTCTGGTAATACCAAACTGAAAGGACTTATTGCACCTGTCAGCAGCAGTTTGTTATCGCAGAGAAGGTCTACAAAGCAGGTCAGAGCACTTGAGGCTAATTAAGCACTGTTAGCTAATGGATTGTTTATATAGTTTTATAACTCTGCATTGCATTATTATTGCTTATTCATGTTCATATTATCTCTGGCTAGAGAAAGACACACCTGGAAGCAACCCATAAATATATGTCTGTACTCCAAAGTGGTACACGGTGGAACAGAACTGGTGCTGACCCAAACCTGACAGTTGCTACTGGGGGGTGCCTCCCCAGGTGGAGAGATGTCTCAATCCTCTCACAGTATAAATTGGATACAGAGCCTTGCTGACCCCAGTTCTGGCACTAGAGCTGTCTCCACCAGTAACAGAGCCACTCCACTATGCTTGGTCAAACAGGGCAGGCATGCTGGATGAGGTCCACTGGGTGCAGGTGTTGCTCCATGCAGAGGTATGTGTGGTGCACAACACCTGCTAGCCAGGGCTAAGACATGACCAAAGCAGATGTCCCATCAGATGCCTTGGCAGAGTGACTTCTGAGCAGTGCAGGATGTGGTCGTTCATCACTGTAGCATCTGACAAGCCAACAAAACAAATATCGCCATCATGTAAAAAACTTTGCATGCAGGCACACTGTAGTGCTTTCTACTTTTAGTTATTTCACTCTCCTTTTTTTTCTTTATGTTTCTTTTTATTGCTTTCTGACTCTGAAGTACTTTAGTACTCCACTTAAATGTTCTCACATGCAGGTTTTATCTGGAGAATTATAAATTCTTTAGTGTTATAAGCCTACTACCACTTTATAAGAGGCAAAATATGGTCAATGTAAAAGAAATGCTGCTTTGGAAAAAAAAAAAAAAGGTAAAAAAAAGCAATAAAAGTTAGCCACTTTTGGAAAAAAAAAAAAAAAAGGTAAAAAAAAAGCATAGATAGGAGCAATAAAAGTTAGCCAGAAGCAGGATAGAGGCTGCTCTTCCCTGCTGGCAAACAGCGCAGCTGAGGGAGGTTGGTAGGGAGTGAAGGTGTTTCTCTTACGTGAACCTGCAAGGCTCAAACAGAGCTCCTCAAATCAGAGGAGAACAAAAGGGCAGCAAGAAGAGCAGCTCCTCATGGAAACAAGAAGCTTGTTTGGGAAAAAAAGGTAGAAATATGGTAAGGAAGAGAAAGACGTGTAAGGATTTGAAAATACAGGAAAGGAATATTGCTGCATGCAGGAAAGGAAAAGAGCTGAGTGATACATACAATACTTGAAGGCTCAAATTGCTTCCAGCTTTAAAACACTAAACTTTCACTTCCTGCTCTTAAATACTTGATTTGCAGCCAGCCAGGTGTAAGTGTCTGAGCCCTGTCCAGAAGCTCATCTTCCAAAGTGACGAGTTGGCTGTGCCTACTGGCCAGTAGGTAAGTCTTTCACTTGCCTCTGCACTGCAGCCCTGCAATTGAAATGGTTGCTCATGATTCATTATATTAAACCAGAGGAAGAGGCAGGAGAAACTCCTGGGTTTTGTAGGGTCTATACTGCCTGTCAGAGCATGCCAGCGTGCTCCTACTCAGCTACTGAGGCTGCCAAGCTCACTTAGAAATGGCCATGCTTCAGGGAAAGGTGCAATCAGAGGCCACATAGGCCAGGCATACAGTGGGATTTTGGTGTCAGCAGCTATAAGGCCAAGCCTAAAGGCAGGAGAAAAACTTCACCAAACATAGTTAATTGAAGACACAGTCTGCAGTATACTGCTGAAGAACTTGTCTTTCTTTCTAGATGTCTTGTCTGAGTATTGTCATGCTACAAAAAGTAATTGATGTCAACTTTAACATTTACTCTTCAGAGACCTCTGCATTGTTTTCTTACATCTCTGACCCACAAATCCCAGGATTCATCAGCAGTGTGAGTTATTTGCAGGAAGAATAGGGAGGTTTACTCTAGGGTCTGCTTAGTGCCAATACTTCATCAAGTTTTCTTCTCCCGTAAGCTGCATGCACTATTCCCAATGCTTCTCTACTTTTGATTTCCCTTCTCTTTGTCTTTGTTTTTCTGCATGTTCTCTGGGGATGTATTTTTCAATTGCCAGTGTCTCTTTTAAAAGGACCTTCACACACAGCAAAACAAGTTAATACCACAGCTTACTGCAATATTGCCATCTTACATTTTTGCAGACATTTACTTCTAGTTTAGCAATAGAAAGATGCATGGAGAAGCAAGATCTGGTCTCTCTCTGGAAAAATCTGAAATTATAATTAAACGAGGACACTTGCACCTTTGGTCTTTACCTGGTTCTTATGAAAATAATGAAAATTCACTCTATTAACTGCAGTAGCAAAGAGAGTGTGGTGAAGAACTCCCAACTGTATTGAATATATTGGTGACACACCTTTGGTGTACACTATGGCAGTTTTTGAGCACTTCTAAATTTTAAATGTGCCCAAAGAATAATTTGTAAAATTTCTAATAATTCTGGCACATTCTTCCTCAGGTAGTTTGGCATTATAATTTTATAGCACCACTCTTTCATGAAATAAACAAAAGGTTACGTATAACTAGAGTAAAATTGTTAATTGGACATAATTTTGGATGTGAATAGTCTGCAGATTTTGCAGTCCTTAGGAATAATGATCTGGCTGTAGTATCCTTTATTGTGGTGTCTGGAAATAACTGCTGCACAAATAGTTTAGGAAGCTGAGTCACAGCTGCACAAGTTTATAGACTGTTTTCAGAATGTGAAAAAGCAATTTACTTGAACCTCAGAGAAATGTAGCAGTCATGTTTGGAACCAGTGCCTAAAGTAGATCACTCATTTCATGACCAAATGAAAGCACAGTCTTACTGAGATCTAGCTGGTAAGTATATGCCCATGCGAGGTTCATGTTTAGCACTGGTAGAATAACTTACTGACTCCAATGTAAGCTTCAGAGAGATGGGTGTTTTAAACAGTGTGACAGCCAGTGGCCATGCTAAAAGGAAACACTGGTGGTTAATTTTTTAATACCTTAGGGATAATTGCACAATATTGTGAGCATCACAAAGTTCTAGTGACTGCACAAGAAGTAGAGAACTCATTTTACAGCTGGGGCTATGCTTCCCACTGGTTGAAGCCCTTATGGCTAAGTTATATGGATAATGTGGTCGAAGAAGTATGGTGTCCAGACCTGCTCGTTGTCATTCTGCTCACGTAGATTACATGCTGCCTTTCCCAAAATGAATTAACTGAAATCCCAGGGTGACTGGGATTTGCTGTCTATGTTAAAGAAGATGTGAGTTCGACAGCCTTTAGAAGCAGCCAGCAGTTACATTAACCCTGTAACTGGGAGGTATATGAGCAGTTGCTGCAGGAGTCCTCGTCTGTTAACCCTTCCTGCAGGAGATGACCTCTGGTGAAGTGCAGCAAATTCAAGTAGCAAGTGTACAGCTTTGATTCTGGATGCACAGAGCCATCTTAAAGGAGAGCAATTTGCACAGCCTTTCCTCACATGTGCAACGCCACTGTTATCACCATTTGCCTACAGAAGTGATAGCTCTTTTCACCTTGGTAGTACATTATGGATCAAAGTGTATTAAGACTTCAGAAAGTCAAAACCTCCTCCTTGACCCTGAAGGTTCACATACATAGACTTTCAGTCATTAAGGCATTCTCTGACATTTCTTGGAGGAGTCTTTTCAGAAAAATGAGCAGTCTAATCGATGATGTCTAATGATTTTGAGTGTCTGCAATTTACAATGTACTTACAGTATCCATGTTTCCAGTTTTTAGGGTCTACTTTTCCATCTGCTTCTCAGCTTGTCCATTTTTACTTTGTTTTTTTATTTAAAAAAAAAAACAGAGTGGCTGCTGATAAAAGAAGTAAGAGTCACAATTAAATTGAGCATAAAACAGGAGCATAGAATTATCATTCAGCTTTGTTGCCCAAAAGAGATTAAGGTTTTCACCAGAGTATGCTGAGAGCAATTCAAATGAAGTTGGAGCAATTGCATCAATATGAACATAAGGAAGTCAGAATTGGTGCTTTTTACTGCAAGATAGTATTTTGTTCTAAGACTTTATAATAGACACATGGGAAATTTCAGCTTTGCTTTTCTCTTTGGAAAAGTAAAGCCTATTTCTATTTAAAAATTGGCTATGTGATAAATCTGAGAATGTTTGGTGTGAAAGACAATTTCTAGTGTTGTAGGTAATATTTCACAGGACTAGTGAAAGTGGAATTGTTTTTCAAGCCTAAGGTCATATTATTATTGCTTGTAGCCTTACCATTTTCGCCAAAACAGACCTTTATTTTTTCCTTAAAAACTTATCACTACCTGAAGTGAAGCATCTATTCCATATGATGAAACTTCCTACAACTTTTGAATGCTCCGAAGAAAACAATCCATTATTGTCAAGTTCTAGTCCATCAATCAGAAAACTGTCATTTAATAAACTCTGTGGCAGTTACCTCATTAATATTGTCCTGTGTGAGCTATGTGGGTTTTTTGAAGGAATGGAAGGTAACTCCTCCTGCAGGCTAGTAATGCAGTAAACCATGACTGTGTACTACTTTAAATATATATTAGTGTGGCTGACTCTGATGTCTGCAGCACAGCAGCAAAGGTGTTCACATTTTTCATTTTCATAGAAAATTAATGGGGTTTTAGGGTTTTTTTGTTTGGTTGTTGTTTGGTTGATTGTTTTTTTTCTTTTTCTTCTTCAAGAAGGCTGTTATAGCTCTATGGCAATTTTTTTATTTCAGTTTTTCTGTGCTGGTCTCCTGTATCTAATAGTACTAATTCTTATTCCTGTCAGGTATAAGTTTATCTATTCATGGGGCTGAAAAACGTGTGCAAATCTGTCAAAGAAGAACTGCAGCAAGCTACCCAGTGTCACAGTGTCTGCCTGTGGTTGGACATCCTTCACTCCCACAAGTCAGAAGGTCAATAAAAATGGAAGCCTCATCTTCTGGATCTAGTATTTCAGCAGTCACTGGTGGAAAAGCAAAAACCCATCAGCCAGGTAACAGATTTGGCTTGACACCTTTTTCAGTTCCATTTCTTGTGTGATGTGCCATGATGTTGTGAAACTGGTATTTATAACATAAGATCATGCTTGTATGGAGGTCAATCTATAGATCATCAGACCTATCAATTGATATTTTGTCTACATTTTGTCAGTTATAGATCATAGGGATTAACAACATTTGGGACAGGTGAAAGTGGGAAATAAAAATGGAAGTTTAATCATAAAAAACATAAAATGTAGTGGTATCCAAAATGTTAATACATAGAAAGCTATGGGCTATTGTTTTTTTTAATACTTGCCCCCCTTATGTATGTTTAATTTTTATCCCTGAGGTAATGGCAATGCTCTAGAGGTTGAAGGCATCCCCTGTGGAACTCAATAATTTACATTACATTGAACAAAGGCACAATCCAAAGTGTAGATCAAAGTCTTGATGCTAGAACGCAAACAAAAACTCTAGATCTGAAGGAGTTTCTACAACATATGTTAACTTATTAACAAAGCGAAACTTTTTAAAAGAAAAACAGAATCTTCTGGGAACCATCAAATTCTAATTGACATCATGAGTTCATTCCTTGTTATGCTAATTGCCAGAGCTATTTTAGAAGTATCTTTTCTTATAACAGGGGAGTACATTTGTGGTGGCCATATCCAGACATTTTTCACAATGAAAATTAAACTCCAAATTTATTTCCTGAGTAGCAAAAATTAAAGCTGCCCATGAAGCCAGTTTTGTAGCTTCTACATCAAAGAATCTCAATAATCTTCCATCATTGCTGCCCAGGAAAGGGCATGATACACCCTGTATGCAGCTGCTTGGGTGCTGCAGAACAGAGTTTATTTGTGCGAGACAGAGTTCTGCCTGCAAACCCTTAGTGTGCTTCCATTACCTTACAGATCTAGTAAATTACTTCATTTTTGTAGAAGTTGAAAATTTAGATTATTTATTGCAGGTTGCTGTGCAGGTCTATTGCCATGAGATTCATGCATCCATACCATTTAGTCTCCATAATCTTTGTCAACATAAATTAAGAATTTACAGTGACTCATAACCATGTTTTGTTTATTTCAGTCCCTCTGTTCACTTCTTTGTCCTTCTATTTTTCAGCTATGTTTTTTTTTCTTTGAAATACAGAAATTACTACTACAGAAATGTTGATGGTACTAAAGACATAATCATGACTGGAGCATGTTAAAAGATTGACAAAGAACCTCTGCATCACAGTGTATGAAAAAAGTATCTTGAACATGCACAATAACTATGTTCATTTTGAGCTGCTACAAATTCTACATCTATGTGTTGGTAGATGTGGCCTGTGCTTTAATACTAAATGATGTGCAAGCAACATATGCTGGCTTCTGATTGAGAAAAAGATCCCTTTTTAGGTAGACCCCAGGGATTTCCTAAAATGGAGCTCATTAGTGAGCATCATTTGGATGACGATTCTCTGAGGAATTTAGCTTTCGGTAGAGTCTTATGCGATTAGTTTTTTCTAGCATATTCTGCTCTTTAGACAAGAACAGCATCTATAACCTACAGAGAACATGCTTGGCAGCTGGGTACAAAGAGGTGTTTAGTATTATGAGCTTCACTGAAGATAAGAGGAGTTAATAGTACCCAGAACCTTAAATAGGCTGCAGATTCTTATAAATAAATTGTATGTTAGGAGTTTTCTCTCAACCAAATTACAGCGTAATTGTTTCATCTGGAATGAAGTAATCTTTTTAAGATTAGGGTCTGACTTTTTACTTCTATATAAGAACATTAAATTTGTCTCTGTGTCCAGGTTAAATTACAACCATTTAGGCTGTATGCAAGTAGAATCTAAGAAAGATTATGGTCATGCAGCAATAAGTAACACTCCTAAGAAAAAAAAAAATTTAAACCTAAAATCATATGTTCTTAATTCTTAGTCAGCCACAAATTAACAGCTGTAACTTCATAACTAATTAGCCTAATACACTAGCTGACCAATGTCAGTACCTTATCTAAGGCTGTACATTATGAATAGTTAGGTACTTCAGAGAGAAAATGTTCTGACCTACGTTAATTACTCAGGTAACAGATCTTACACCACCATTTTCGAAGCTATCCTCCTGCTATTGCATACAGTAAATTCCTCAGGGTTTTGTTGAGCCTAATTTTAAATTCCTCATACAATTTGAGTTCTTCCTTCTATTGGAGTGCTGTTATCACAATGAAGTAGGTCTCACTGTTGGAGTAGTACACATTATATTCAGTCTGAAATTTCCTTTGTCCAGTTAACAAATGCTCTGAACATGAAGACAGTTTGGCATAATGGATTGTACAGAAAGGTGTTCTGAGGGCTTAAAATGGCATTTCTAATTCTTATCAATCAAAGAGGCTAGAACCATGGAAAGAGAAGGTCCTTGATAAAATGACAGTTATGAGTGAGTGTATTTTTTTCCTTCTAACAGCTCACTGCTTCTGTTTTCTGCATACCTCTTTTTTTCCCTTGGCCACTTTTCTTCTTTCCAGAATGACACCTCTTATTATTTACTCTTAATTCTTTTTAATTGACAACTGATTCCTTTGGCTGAAGTTCATAGGTAGCTGCATGCTAAGGAAGAAGAACTGTAGATATTGTTCAGTGCTACAGCACTCCTTTTCAGCTTGCTTCCCTGCCAGCTTTATTTATAGCTGCTAAGGAGCCTAAGGCTGATGACTTCTACTGTTACTCTGGGTGTTGGAGTGGCTAGGGAGCAGTGAGTTGTCTGTCATGTGCCTTTAAAAAAAAAAAAAAAAAAAAAATTATTGTGCAAGCTTGCAAAGAAATACTGCTCAGCCACAAGCAGAACCACAGCTTCTAAGCTCTGATTTTAAGCAGATCAGAAGGTAACAAGTAAATTAAACAAAACACAGAGGAAAATGGAGAAATTAGTGAAAGAAGATGACTACAAATGTGAAGTCACCTGCTGCCTTTGCAGGTGTACCTGTATGAGGAAATTTCGTCTTAGAAAGGAGAAAAGCAAAGACAAGTAGAACAATCAGTTGGTAAATTTAGATGCAGTGATATTAAGGTAAATATGCATTCCTTGCAGAATCAAAGAGGGATGGTATTTTTAGTTTTGAGAAACCCCCAGTTATCATCTCCCAGCTACACAAGCAGTTGCAGTATATTGTGGTTAATGGTGTACCAGGCTACTGAAGTACAGGGTTCAAGGAACTTGGGACAAACCTTTGGCTGGTATAAGTTGTTACAACTCTCTGGAAGATGGTTTATGATCGGTATGTACGTGTTGCACACATGGGGCTTATTTTGAAAGCAGTGTTAGTCAGCATTTAAGTAATCTGTAAGAGCAGCAGAGACAAGTACTGAAAAAGCCTAGAGGAGGTTAAACTGTCATCCCAATCCATTCCTTCAATGTCAGGGGTGGGGAAAATCTGAGGACAAAAAAAAAAAAAAAATATGTTTGCCTCACCTCTGAGAGCATGTCACCTTTGCTATGGAGTAAGCAGGACTTTAGTTTCTGGTTTTCTGCCTGCTCTTTCCATTAATACTCTTTAGTCACAGAGTCATAGAATCACAGAATCATTAAGGTTAGTAACCTTTAAGATTATCAAGTCCAACCGTCAACCTGCATCACCATGCCCGCTAAGCCATGTCCTGAAGTGCCATGTCTACACATTTTTTGAACACTTCCAGGGATGGCAACTCCACCACTTCCCTGGGCAGCCTGTTCCTATGCTTGACCACTCTTTCAGTAGTTTTCCCTAATATTCAATCTAAACGTCCTCTGATGCAACTTGAGGTCGTTTTCTCTTGTTCTGTCACTAGTTACTTGAGAGAAGAAACCAACACCCACCTCACTACAACCTCCTTTCAGGTAGTTGTCGAGAGCAATAAGGTCTCCCCTCAGCCTCCTTTTCTCCAGACTAAACAGCTCCAGTTCCCTCAGCCACACCTCATAAGACATGTGCTCTATAGCATTCACCAGCTTCATTGCTCTTCTTTGGATACACTCCAGCGACAAAATGTCCTTGTAGTGATGGGCCCAAAAATGAACACAGTACTTGAGGTGCAGCCTCACCAATGCTGAGTACAGGGGAATGATAATTTGCCTAGTCCTGTTGGCCTTCTTGGGCACACTGCTGGCTCATGTTTAGACGACTGTCGACCAGTACCCCCAGGTCCTTTTCTGCTGGGAAGCTTTCCAGCCACTCCTTCCCAAGCCTGTAGCGTTGCATGGTGCTCTTGTGACCCAAGTGCAGGACCTGGCACTTGGCCTTGTTAAACCCCATACAATTGACCTTGATCCATCAATCCAGCCTGTCCAGATCCCTCTGTAGAGCCTTCCTACACTTGAGCAGATCAACACTCTCACCCAATTTGGTGTCGTCTGCAAACTGACCGAGGGTGCCCTCAGTCCCGTTGTCCAGATCATTGATAAAGATATTAAACAAGACTGACCCCAAAAATGAGCCCTAGGGAACACGGCTAGTGACCGGCTGCCAACTGAATTTAATTCTGTTCAACACAACTTTCCGGGCTTGGCCGTACAACCAGATTTTACCCGGAGAGGAGTACACCTGTCCAAGCTATGAGCTGCCAGCTTCTCTAGGAGCATGCTGTGGGAGACAATGTCAAGCCTAAATCAGAACAATGTTACCTTACATCTTCCTGTTGGTGACAAATTCCTTTATTCTCAGACTCTGCAGAACTTGTCAAACTTCTAGGTTTTTTAGGAGTCATTCAATTTACTGTCTGTGGGAAAATTTCCTTACTCAACAAGTCTAAGCAGAAGTAAAGTGAATTCTTTCATTGTGTGAAACTCTGGAAACTTCTTAGGTCTTCTCTACTTGCAAAGCTTGCTAACAGTTGTTACCCATTTTGTAATAACACGCATTCAAAAGTTCTCCAGCAAGATTTTCTTTGTCTGTGCTTTCTGTAAAGGCCTCTGGTTAAACTCTATCACGTTCTGAGGTGTATACAGATTTGTATATATAATAATGTAGGTATTCATTTATATCA